CCAACTAAGCACTTCAATGACCCCATACTACCTACCTTATCATGTAACCCTACACTACACAGCTAAAATTGTCCACTATACACCACCCCGAGACTCTCTCGATAATAAGTCTGCTTATCCACTGAGCCATGCAATTGACCTACCGAGAGTCGATTACTCGTAGCACACTCCCGTAACTTTTTGAAATGAAAAAATCACCCCTCAACCAACCGTAACCAATACACTTTCTTAAATTGCACCAGTACATCCATAATACATATCTACAACCCATAGACTATATTCATGACTTAAACAACTTCTATCACACCTACCACAACCGATTCGAAAAGAACCTCTGCACCAAACCATGACCCAAGTCACAAATACTAAATTCCTAAGGTCATACCTTTCTCCCACAATACCCTCACTTGCACACCTGACCCCCACGGTCACAAGAACCCATGCACCAACGCATGAAACTCACAAACAACATAATCACGATGCCATGAAATATAAACCCATTCTAAAGTTGTACTCTAAGCACCACACAAAATACACCAAGAAGATCAGGAGGACCCCACACTGGATAGTTCAATCCACGAGCTATAAAACCAAGCCATTCGCTCGATGAGGACTGGCACCCAACAACCCTTGAGCAACCGAGCTCCTTGCCTACGTAGGTCAAAACTCACATAGCCAACCCATGCTTGACCGCATATACACATAAGAATATAATCATATACATATACAAAATGAATGAAACCCATAATACTACACGAAACATGCTTGCATATACCATGCTCATTACTTGTCAAATTAATATTTAAATTAGAACTGCACACACTGTGCCTACCACTTTTCGTCACCATAATCCTCATACACAATCAACATGCTTTCCTTTTCTTTCACATTTCATTTACACTGTTATATCATCTAATTATTCCTCGTACATGGTCATGTAACAAAAACTTTAACATATATACATATAAACGTGCAAACACATAGCAAGGAAGCATGTCTTTCAAAACTGTAAGCACACAAACATGTAAACAAATAGACAGTTAAGCATGCTTTTCAAATAACAAAACACTTTAGCAAATACTCACATTAATAATGAAAATGACCTCCTATACAACCCTAGGTAGGCCTCCACCCGTCGTCCTAATGGTTTTCGAACCATTGCTCTAACACCAAATTTGTAACAACCCGAACCCGAGGGTCCGAATCGCTAACCGGGTTTTTACCCGAACCCGAGGTCAACTAAAAATGTTACCATCCTTTGCTATATCAATACATAATATATGTGTCATTCAAGGATTTATAAATAATACTAATAGTAATAATAAAATGGCATCATAGCTACAAAATATGTCAAATAGTCCACTAACCCATCAAAACCTGTGGAGGAACGTCGTCCCCCACTTTCTTCTCGTGACCTGAAAAATGATAAAACGATGGGGTGAGCTAAACACTCAGTAGGAAGTGTTCAAGATACACCTCTAATGACCCCGTGAATCCACACAGAGAATAGAAAGCAAGAGAACGGGATCATATCTCGGGAGTCAAGTAAAACCATTGTATCATTAATAGACATACATATCTCAACCAATTACCAAATGCACCACGTATGCCAATGATGTGCCATGCCATGCAATGTCACTCCCTGTTACCGAAACCATACCGTTTCAACTTCCAAACCGTTAGTGTAATCCGACCCAAGGCACCTTCAAGGCGTCACGAAAGGGGGATTGGCTAACGATCCACGACCACAAGGCACCTTCAAGGCGTCGCATCTGGCCTACTTAGCTCAACCACACTAGGGTCTCTCCCTAGTCCCCTCTCTGGACCACACTAACATCACGGAACACTAGGCGCCTCCTAGGCGTCCGGGTTTTCACAAACACTTTTCAAAAAAATTTCCCCAAAACAATTTCATTTGTTTTAAAAAAAATACTTTTCCCCTTTTTCTTTCCCAATGGATGCATGAATACTTCATGCTTCACAATTTACCATAATTTTCACATCATCAAACCTTGACAACATTCCATACTAAAGAAGAATTTTCTTATGAATTTATAGCATGCTTTAAGTCAACAAAATTTCTACAATTACACATATTAAACAAGGACATAATAACAAAAGCATGCTTTCCATATCCAATCAACAAATCACATGCACATATATTATTTACGAATAACACACATAGAGGTACACATCATATATCTAGTATCATGGCAATTTCTCAAGAAAAGTTTAAAATAAATCCCATACATTCCATCTACATCATGAACACATTATTAAGGGAAATCCTAACATTTATTTTCATAATTTCAACATCACTTTTCTTAACAATAAAAAATCATGGGGCATCTAAATGTCAATACTAAGCATGTATCTTCACCACCAAGTATATAATCATAATCATTGGTTCAATTAATACATATAATACATCCATCACCTTAATTACATATAACGACAACAATATAGGCAAAATTGCTAATATTAAACATGCTTAGAATCAAATTAAAGGGGAAAACTTACAAAAGATCAAAAAAAATATATGTTAGAGCACCCCTACCTCAATTTGATGAAAAGGCCCAAATTTACCCAATCCAAACCCTAGAATTTCAAAATTCCTAGGGTGCACCAAATGGAGATTGGCTCTAATCAAAATGATGCCCTCAACGAGGTCTTTAATTTGCCATAAACGGTACCCAAAAATTCTAAAAGATGAAGGAGAAATCAAGACTTGAAATTCCACTTGGAAAGAAAAAGAACAATGAGATGAGAATTGGGAAAGAGAATGAGTTACGGGAAAGTGAGAGGATGAGACCAAAGTGGTTTCTAGGCCACTCAAGTGGTTGAGGTGGGTCCCACCACTTTTGAAAGATTTTTCTTTTTCTTTTCAATTTTATTTTCTTTCTAATTTTGCACCACACACTTATACATACATATGTAAATTACAACCATTACTATCCCAGAGTGTTCCCATATTGATTTTAAAGCATATAAACATCTTTACATCAGATTAAATCAAAGGTTATGCATCATAACAATAAATTAAGTAAAAACTATACAAACCCATCACATATATAAACATATTGTAAAATCAGATTTTTAACATGCAAGAAGGTTTGTTTTAGTCCATTAATTGTTCCTGGAATTGAACTAAGCGTGTACAGAAACCCAAGTCAGAGGAGAAGAGATAGAATTAGAACTTGCCTTAAAATTTTAGATTAAAACCCAAGTCTCCTTTTTTGTTTTTCCTCCTCTGCTTCTCTCTTTCCTCTCTAAAACTGCTGCCTTCACAATAGATATGAATATGGTTTTCTAAACCCTTTGGCAGACTTATAATTTATATATATAGGCACATACAAAATAACCCTAATCCTAATTTTAGTCCAAGTCTGACTATAAGGAAAAATATAAAAAATATCAAAAGAGTAATTAAAATTTATACGTATATATAATCTTCTATATATATCAGATTATTCCATATTACTATTATTAATAAAAATGTTAAAAATAATATTAATAATAGATTGTTATCCTTGTACATATATATATATATATATATATATATAGACACACACACACACACACACACATACAACTATCCATGGATAATATTTGTGCCCATTTAATCTCCTATCCAAGTAGTCCATGCAACCCATTGGGTTGGTCCATGACTACTACCCAAGTCCAACTTTTTTAAATATAAAACATAAAATAAATAATTAAATCCTAATAATTAAATTACACATAACACCACATTAGGCAATACTTCAATTAGACAAATTAGACAAGTATTTCAAACAAACACATAATTAGCTAATATAAATAAAAAATTAAATAAAAAATCTAGAAATCAAACAAATAATTAAAAATGAAATTAAAATAATTAATTAAATACCGAGACTATCCTTTTAAAATTAGGGGTATTACAAAAGCCCTAGAATTGCCCAAAATCCAAAAATTGAAAGGTCTTCCAGTCAAAGATCGGCTCCGATCAAATCAAAGCTCTCACCAAGCTCTTCAACTTTGCCTTCAATGGAAAAGTCCAAATCTCACAAATAAAATGAAGGAATCAAGCTTCAAAAGCATAGATTTAGAGAAAAAAAAAAAAAAAAAAATAGGTTTTTAGAGAGAGAGTGGGAAAGCCACGAAATTGGAGGAGAAAGGTGCCCAAAAATTTAAATTTGTGGTGCTATGTAATGACCTTAGTCAATGAGAGAAATTAAATTGTAAGATACAAAGCATGAATAGTAGTGCAAAGTTTCTCTAAAATACTTGGTATTGACATAAGGAGACATACTCTCCTATAATTGATTTAATCACATTTGTATTTTTACTTTGACAATTTCAATTAGTTGAATATGCAAATGCATGTTATCTTTCTGAATCCATATAAAGCTTGATCACAAACAAGATACTGATTAACTTGTAGCATCACTGCTACATCAAGGCGATCTATGAAACAAACAATAAATTACAACTTCTTCAAATCACTTCAAGATACTTGCAATTCATGAAGCAAGCTAGGAGTGCATGTAGTTGAGCTCTATGGTACAACATTCAAAAAGTTGATGCATGATATTAAAACTCAAAGATTTTCCATGCTGAAGTAATGCAACAAATATGCATATAAGGGAGAGCGATTGATTAGAAAGGTATTGGCATAATGTACTCTCTTTTTTTTTTTTTTTTTTTCTCAGCTTTTGTCACACTGGGTTTTCCTGACAAGATTTTAATGAAGCAGTTTTAACCTGTGCAATACCATTTTCATATACACAAGAATATTGTACTCTTTTTCCTTTTGCTAGATCTTATCCCACTGGGATTTTTCTAACAAGGTTTTAACGAACCATAGTGTTTTATGTTGTAAGACATTGGACTTTGATGGTTAAGTGACTTGGTAAAACACGATTGGTAGAGTTTGTTGGTGGGACTAATTGGAGGCATTTGATTGGTATATTGATGTGGTGATATGAGATTGGCATGATGATGCAACAAGTTGCAAGTATTTAATTGGCATAGTAATGTGATAATAGAAGATTGGTCTGATGATGCAAAGACTTGCTGGGCACCAAAATCAAGAGCGGCAACCGGAAGGGTTTTTTGTTATTGCATTTTAAATCCCTAAATGTATACTTTTTTGCATTTATACCCATAAAATTTTAAAATTGGCCCCACTGAAATTATAAAAAAACCTCTCTATATAACTGTCCCCCCTCATATGAATTTCTAGATCCGTCCATGTATATGTGTGGTAGGATATTGTATTGTGTATCCTTTCTAGCAATAAAATTTCCTTCTATTTCTCTTTGGGTAGGTCTCTTAGTGTATACATATTTTATACGGAGTATTACGCTTTTTTATTGTACTTTTATAACAGCACATGTATTATAGTAAGCGGGGCAAGGGGCACGTGCCCTTGAGCATACACTGCCCTGACTTTATATGCATACGGTATTTTTTGCTCGTCACCCTATATAATATATGCGTACTGCTATTTCATTTTGTGTCTATATATATATATATATATATCTACACACTTATTGCTCTCAAGATCTCTAGCTTCAAAGAGAATCTGACACAAAATTAAGCAAGGTTCCTATGGCTTCTTCATCTTCTTCTTTACTATCTCGATCAGAATATGATGTATTCCTAAGTTTCAGAGGGGAAGACACTCGTAAAACCTTTGTGGGCCATCTCTACACGGCTCTGAATCAGAGAGGAATCAGGACCTTCAAAGATGATGAAAGGCTTGAGAGAGGAAAATCTATTTCTTCGGATCTTGTGAAAAATATCAATGAATCCAGCATTGCAGTCATTGTTTTCTCCAAGAACTACGCTAATTCATCATGGTGCTTGGATGAATTGGTGGAAATTCTTGAGTGTAGGAGGACCAAAGGACTAACAGTTTTGCCCATTTTCTACCATGTGAAAGCATCGGATGTTCGAAAACAGAAGAGGAGTTTCGCAGAAGCATTTAAACAGCACGAAGAAATTCATAAGGAGGAGACCGAAAGGGTGCAGAGATGGAGGGCCACTTTGAAGGAAGCAGCAAATCTAAGCGGGTTTGATTTAGAACATGCAGCAAATGGGTACGTACATATGCTTGCTTCTATTAGTTGCTATTAGTTTAGTTCAAATATATTGTACGTTTGTGCTTTGTAAGCTACAACTTTTTTAGTACTTGTCAGCAGCTTTTTTGTTTTGCTTGCATTCGCACCAGATCATCTCCCTCCCTCACTCCTCTGCACTCTCTTTTCTCCCCCTCTCATCCCTCAGCAGACCCATTTTTGGGGCAAACCCACAAAGAGAAACCACAGCTGCCACCTACACCTACCAGAAAGAGAGAAAACAAAGGAGAAAAGGGGGCAAAAAAAAAAATGGTGTAGTTTGTTCATGAATTGGTTGGAAATCATTTTGCATAAGTGGGGAAGGGCATGGAAACAGACCCGCCGGAGAGTGAGAGAGAAAGAGAGCGGAGAGAGAAAAGGAGACCGGCTTCCTTGCTAGCCTCTTTGCCACCATCGTCGGCTTTTGTCTCAGCCGGCAAACTCCGTGGTACGCCAAAAATGGGTATGCAAAGAGGTTAGAGAGAGAGAATAGAGTGCAGATGGAGTGAGAGAGGGAGATGATCCGGTCCAATTGCAAGCAAAATAGAAAAGGTCAGCAGCCTATGTGAGTGTGGAGCAGCAGTCGCACTCCCGAGTAGTCGCACTATGCTGTTAGCATACCTCTTTTTTGAGCGTTTTTGAGAAATTATTTCTCTTGTTGTGCACACTTCTTTTATACTTTTTTTATTATCTACACTTATTTATTTTATTAGTTAAAATTTGTCCACACATTACTCAATACACTATCAATTTATTTTATAATATAAAAAATACACACAAGGCCCACCATTCTAAGGGCAGCATGTCTACTTGATTATACACATAGAATCCAGTGTAGAGTTTCAGGGGAGACCACAAGTGTGGACTGTGGAGGGTGCACACGAAACCCCTTGAATCAACACATTCCTCACATATTATCTAAATGCTCTTGCCCTATAGGGATGCTCTTAATAAGATATATTCTCTCCTATCTTAATTAGACTTCTCATTTTATGGTGGCAAACTTATATTCCGTAGGTGAGTAAAATTCTGTAGAAAAGAGTAAAAAAAAAAAAAAAAAAATTGGGTATAAAAGGCATCATGGCATCTCAGGTAGTAACTAGTAACGAAGTTGACTCACTCTTCTCTCATGGTAATATGATTCGAAGAAATCAAGAATATGATTCGAAGAATTTGATAATGAATATGATTCGAAGAATTCAAGAATTTAAATGAGACATTTGGAAACAAATTGAAATAATCAGTTTTTTCCAAGAAGAATATGATAACGATGTTGACTCACTCTTCTCTCATGGTAATAAGGATAATGAATATGATTCGAAGAAATAAAGAATATGTGATTCAAAGAAATCAAGAATATGAATATGATTCGAAGAATATGATAATGAATATGATTCGAAGAAATCAAGAATTTGATTGAGACATTTGGAAACAAATTGAAATAATCAGTTTTTTTCCTTCCTTCTTTCTTTGTTTTTTCTTCTCTCTCGGTCACTCCCGTTTTCTCTCTCTTTTTTTTTTTTTTTTTTCCCTTCTCTCTCACTCTCAAACAGGAACCACACCAAAGTAACAAGACCTAAAATCAATGTCATTCAAGAAAAAGAACTTGATTGAAGAACCCAAACTACGAAAGGGTTATTAAAATCCAATTCAAAAAATGAAAAGAATTTTACAAGATACCAAGAATTAAGATTCCATTTGAAAACCTAGATAAACCTTAGAAATGCCAATTAAAATAGAAAGATAAAAATGAAAAAGTTAAAGTACTCAAAAACTGTCTAACCAAACCAGTACTGTCAGTACATGGAAAAAAAAATGAAAAAAGACAATTGATGAAATCAAAAACCACAAGGAGGAGTAATTAAAAGAGACGGAGCATTGCAAGGAAACGTAAACATATACCGTGAATAATTAGGTTTTGATAAGGAGATAGGTGCAGAAACGAAAAAGATCACCCGATTTGAAGAGAGAACAGTGGAGGAGAAAAGGCCGGGAGAGGGAGTGAGGAACTTGGAGGCTCCGCCCGTCGGTGGGTTTGAAATCGACGGAGCAGAATAGCCATACATGGCGCGCAAAAACCCTTGACAATTTTGACACCAGAGAGGCCTGTCTCTAGGGTTAGAAGGTTAGTTGCGTAATTTAGCATTTAGTTGATGACATCATCCAGAATGTCAGCAAGGAGATTTTTAGCAAGGGAAAAATAGTACTTGGCCATGGTAAAGTAGAGTAGAGAGTTAACTTTGACAGGCGAGGTCTCCGGAGATTTTTCTAATAATTTCAGCCGCGGGATATTTGGACAAATTGTGAGGACTTATGTCCTTTTTTCATTTTTTTTTCTTTTTTCGGTCATTTTCAGGTTTTGGGTCATGTGGGCCCGGGCAGGGTCGTGTGTTCAGGAATTGCTCCTGACATTTTTTATTTATTTTGTTGGGACGTATTAGATATTTATAATTTATTTTGGGGCGCCGGCATTATTATTTTTGAAATATTTTCATTTTTAAGCATTTATGTGATTTTTAATTTTTGATGGGGCTCACGAGAGCTTTTGTGTTTTAGTGTGTGTGTGTATATATATGTTTGGAGAGAGAGAAGGAGACAAAGGGCCGACCATTCCCCTTCCCCTTCCCCCTTTTCTTTTCTTTTCTTTTCTTTTGATCTTAGGCTTAATAGCTCTATTGAATCCCCTTTTGGTCAGATTTTGCCAATGCCATAGAAGGGAGAAGCGACGGGGACACCGAGAGCTACGTACCATCTATTTTATTTTGACTTTTGGGCATTTTGGGATTTTTGTGTGAAGACTAGAGCTCGAATTTGGAGGCGGTCGTAGCAGGATTTTTCGCTCTCCATGCTTAATTTCCTCTTCGACCCCCCGAAGTTGTGTCGCATTCGGAGCACTTTCGTTTTGGTATTTTGGGGTTTTCACCTCAAAGAGAGGTAGGGGGTGTGTTGTGCATGCACATGTGTATGTGTGTGTGTGTTGGATTAGATAACTTATATTGTGACAGAAAATGTATAAGAATGATGATTTGATGATTTAAATGTTGCAATCTCATGTATAGTATGTTTAACAGAGTAGTAATTGCAATCATAGGTGGTCGCCAATGTGGTTTCATTTGAAATGTGCTCATCTCTAATTATTGGTGCTTTATTTCTCTCTCTCTCTCTCACACACACACATACACACACACACACATATATATATATATATATATATATATATATATGATAGTGTGGTTATTGTTTCGACAATCACCTATGCTTGAACAAAGTAAAATAAAAGCAATAATAGCCTCGAGAAGGATTATCCAAAATAGAAATAAAACTAAACTATAAAGTGCACAATTAGAAGTTCAAGAGTTTGAGATATGCTCACAAACGGCCAAAGCAAAACCGTGATTCCCAAGCTTACTCCTCCCTCAATCAAGTACCTACAATTGCACAAAAATAAACAATAGGCAAATGATATACAAAAAGTCCTAAACTAACAATAAAATGAGCACTAATTTTAAATTGAATCAATTGAACCGTTGTCCTTAGCCACAGTGTCAAAAATTGATGGTTTGTGATCGAAACTTTGATTTTAAATTTATATAACCACTACTACGTAGGATAACGAAGCATGTGGTCCAACACAAGGACTATAAGCTTAATCCAAATTCAATATTAATGATCAAATGACAAGAAGTATAGTTTGGATGGTTCCTAATTAATAACTAGAATTAAATCTATCTAAAATGTAAATAACTAGATTGATAATGAAAAAGACAATATAAGAGAGAGACTTAGGGCATGAAATCCACCTTTAAGCCTTACAATTATATCAATGCAATGAGATAAATTGTGCATACAAAGATTGTGGCTACAAAGACACAATTGAGATCAAGATAATGCTATAATTAACATCAACAAGCATGAATTATCAAAGCTAAGAATGAATTATTTACTTACCTACATCTAATCTAACATTTGTAGTACAATTCATTAAAACTAAACATAAATCATCAAGTTGTATGCAATTATATCCAATTAGCACCATTGTGTAACCATCATCTACACAATTACATAACCATCATCTACACAATTACATAACCATCATCTACACAATTACAAGAAGTGGAAATGTAGAGTTTAACCTTCAACAATCAATACATAAGACAACATAGAGATTAGAAAAGACCAATTCAAGCATTTAAACACAATCAAGCTTGGTACAACCAAGATTAATCCTCTGGGTTACACAATCTATAGACAAATATAAAAATCTCCAGATTAAAAGATAATGATACAATTACATAGGGCTTCATCCAAGCCCTAAGAAGGAAAGAAACTAGCTAGCCATGGAGATGTTGAGGATCATCTTTGCAGCTTTAATCTTCATCTCATAGCACTACCAAAGCTTCTTCTACAATCTTCAAGAGCAAATGAGAGAGAAAATGTAGAGAGAGCTCAAGCTTTGATCCAAAATCCAAATCCCTTTCAAAATTGCTTGATTTTTATATTTATACTTGACTCTTGGGCTGCCAAATTATCATAAAATGTACATAAGGCTCGTCAATTGGATGCACCATGGACTTCGTTTAAGGAAAATGTCATATCAAAATTTGAGAGTCATGTCTTGTGAATACAACCAGTCGCGTTTAAGATGCGATCAATCGAGAAGCGATCTATCCCACTCTACTCACGATCGATCGCATGCCTCTAATTTTTGCACTTCAGCTTCTTTTTGCTTCCCTTCTTTGCCAAGACTCCGTTGAAGCTTCCTAAGAGCTTTACGAGATTGGATTTAGCCCATTTAAGCCATAAGAACCTAAAATCGACAATAAAGTGAATTAAAACTAAAAAGATGAATAAAGATAGAAATAAGGTGCCAACATATGTACGAATAAAGGCCGAAATGTGCATCTTTCGGCATTTATTACACCCTCAAACTTACATATTGCTAAACCCTTAACAATAAACAAAGATAATAAATGGAAGCAACAACTAACAAACTCCATTTTCATATGGAACACGATTACATTTAACATATAAAATAAGCTTTTTAAACCCCTAACTTACCCCTAGCGGATGAGTGAAGTCTCGTAAAATGATACCCACAAACATTCATATACATTAATCCCAACAATTCAACATCATGCAATCCAATATAGTCCCTATACATTAATCCTGCCAAGTATACCCATCAACATTGACTCTAGCATCTTTTTAAGTGAACCGACAATATTCAACTATGTTGCTTAACTTAGCATAAACAATGCAAAGATCAAAATCAGACCTCAAGCTAGAAAACATCTCAATTATTAACTATCAAGACTATGAATGACCCTTTATTCACCTTTTCTTTTTCTTTTTCTTAAGCACTTAGGATCAAAGATGAGAGCATTGTCCAATGTAAAGATATCTTAATCTTTTTAGAAGACTCATGTAATAAGTGTTGGGTCAATGGCTACCAAACCAGATGACTTTAAGGCAGTAGGTGTTAAGACACCCCAAAGGACTTAATAACTCAAGCCAACTAGCTTACAAATAAAAATTTCTCTCAACTGTTCATTTCCTAAACCCTTTACCTTTTGACATGAGAGAATAATACTTAGTGAGACAAGAATCCCTGTTACTCGATAAAAGAGCATTTATTATTTTATTGGGTCTTTCACATTTTGACACGAGAATTCAATACTTAATGAGGAAAGAATCCCGGTTACTTGGTAAAAAGGCTTTATTATTTAACATGCAAGGTCATCATATCAAGTATGTTGAATTCTCAAAGTCTACTAACTTAACTAAGATAAAACCAAAGCAATGATCAACTAAGCATATACTCGACAAGATGAATGTTAGTGTGCGCCTGTGTAAGTATAGTACTCTATAATCAATCCTCAAGGCATGATTAACATGAAAGGTGATGTGGACCACAAAAGCAAGTATGTCAAAAAGTTTGAAATTATCCCTAAATGACGTCCTTAAGCATACAAAAAGTATTATACTCTAAAAAATTGCTATGAAACGTTATTCATATTTCACAAAGATTGAGTCATTGCTAAATTTAGCTTTTAACTCTCAAAATGCATGAAAAGCTCAAACAAATATAATAGAATTTAAGAAAGTGACATACCCACGAACTTAAACCATACATTGTACTCAATGTGCAATAAAGATAAAAGATAAGATAGAGAGATTATAACAGCGTGGCAAAAAACCAGTGAAACGCTGGCAACAAAATGATCTAGCTGGAAGAAAGACACCCCCAAACTTGGATTCAAAAACCTGCCTCATTAAAGTACCACACTAACATAACTCTCTTCAATATCAAAATGGTATAGGGATAAGCACACAATACATACTAAAGCAATATGAAATGTAATAGAAGAGAGAGAGAGAGAAAAAAAATAGGCCTTAGATATAACAGTGAAACAAGAAGGATACAGAGAATTAGCTTTATCAGGCACAAACTATCAACTTGATAAACTATTTATGTCAATGTAGCAAAAATAATCAAGTGACAAATATTTGACAGTAGCAATAAAAAATAATACACAACCCCAAATGTATGGCTAGCGGACTAGCTAATGAAATAATAACATCACAGTGTAGCATAGTCAAAATAGTCTACCCAAATGTAAGGAAAGAGAGAATATATATAAATAAAGAGATGTAGAGAAAGAGAAAGATCATCGAGTAAGCGGCTGGGAGTGTAATGGAGCCCGGGTCTGGAGATGAAGTAGAATATCACCCATCATGCTGTGTATCTAATCCTGAAAATCCATAATATCTCACCTTACCACCCCCGGAGCTGAATAATCTTCCCCTGAAGTTGAGCAATCTCCCCCCAAATGGTCATAATCAGCATGGGGGAATATAAAGGGCTTCTCATGAGTACAGTTTTCAGGGCTGTAGAGTCGGCAACTAGCTGCTTTGGAACATCTGCATCCCTCATCTCAGGGTCCTGACCTGGAATAGCTATCGAAACTGGCACATCCCCCTAAACCTTAGCTGTATTAGCTAGAAATAGCCTTGGTGCCCTCTAGCATGCACTTCATCCAATCTGAGTTACTATAATGTAATGAAATTGAGAAGAAAGGTTCATCCAAATGAAAGGGGCATTGCTAATCATCCAGGATCTGTGCAATGAGGTGGGCATATGGTAGGCTCCAAGCCTTGGCCAGTTTAAACTGTCTGGAAATGAGCTCATCCCAATACTTATGCAGGACACCCTATATAAGTGTTGGAACTGGAAACCAATGACCTGTAGGAATAGCATAGAGAGTTGTTAATAAATTACATCTCCACTATATCTTATGGCCGGAGGGAAATACATTACAGTAGAGGACCGTGACAAGAAACCACATCTATTGTGGTAAGGTCTTCCTTGTAGCATAATTACCGTACCTATCTGCAAACTCTATACATAATATTGATCATATCTTGGACTAAGGGCCATTTGAGAGGTGGGTATACAATCTGGGATGCGTGGATTGCCTCTAGGGATCATAGAGGCACCGACAAAACAACCTCAATGGTATTAATGGTAATAGCAATAGGATTCCCTGGTCCTGGTGGATCACCTCTATGGGTCTAGTCTGGAGTCACGTAGGGTCCACCTGGTCTTGGTGGAGATACTGAAATAACAATCAGACAAGGTGAGGACAAATCCGCTCATGTACTGGATGAAGCATAGCAGAAAAGGCCCCGCCTGGTAAATCTTGGCATATGCCCACTTGGTTTCATTCCAACTAAAAATATATGGCTTGTGGAATGTTGTCTCGAGAGCTAACACCTTTTTCTCGAACTCCTCACTCAGTACCTCCCGGACTATGTGAGTCGTATGAGGAGTCGGTGAAGTCGGAGAACGAGATGGTGAAAGGATGGAGTAAACTCGGGAGATGAAGATGTTGTAGGCTCTCGATTATGGTCAGTTCTCATCTTTCTTTGTCCATTCTTTGGAGACATGGTCTATAAAATAAGAAATACTTGCATGATGCATTAGTCCCCTGAAATAGAAAGATGTATGATTGCTTGAAAGACATATGGCATGTGTGCATAAAGATGAAACAATAATTAAATCAGTACAACAAGCAAGCCTATGCAGGACGTACATGTTGTAAAGAGAACTTTAAATTCACATTCCATTTCAAAAATTAAAAGCATGAGAATACACAAAGCATGTTGACATGAAAATATCCATTTTCAACCCTTGGGATGCCTTAACAAGCTAACATGCAAGCATGGATGAGGTAAGAGAATCAACAAGTGCATAAGTTGGAATTTATGTGAAACTGGACACAAGTTATCATTTGATATGAAACTCAAAGCATAGGGCAAGCATTTTGGACATGGAAGCACAAAGTCATGAAAATATGGAATTATGGACCAATGCAACCCCAAGAATGACAAACCAAGGTCACATCCCATTAACGACCTCATTTTGGAGAATGAAGCATGAATGCTAATCATTAACCTAAGACGTGAGGATGACAACCATGAATGTGACAATGAGACCAACGACACTCAAAAACATGCATTTTTATTTCTATTTTTGACTTCAAAATCACCATGTTAGAAAATGAGGTTCAAAGCCAATCCTAAACAATTCACAAGGTAATAGAGGAGTTCTTAAATTGAGATTTTAACCTTCAAAACAAACAATGTGTGGTCGTGATAATCTAAAACGAAAGTGGACTATAGATGATGAAATAGTGTATGGAAAATGCAACTATGACATTGGTTTACTAAGATGACACTCAATGTTCTAAACAAAGTAACCTTGATAATGCCCTAGACAAATCTTATGAACACAAGAGAGAATGAATGCTTCATAGCTTGAAAATAACAATGTTGGAAGCCTTGTAACATGATCATAACACATCCTTCACAACACAAATAAACCACAACTCCATCTGCAATAATTCCCATCCTCCATTTATTCTCAACAAACAACTATGGTCACTTGAGGCATGTGACCCCCTTAGCCTGAATAGAATCAAATGATTAGAGCATGTGTAGAAAAATAACTAATTTTGAAAGCATGTATCAATGAAGCATTAATTTGTATATATGAAAAATCAAGAGATTGGAATGAGAACATCATCTTATCCACTTATCAACACAATGAACAACAAAATCACAGCATGAATAAATGAATATGAACATGGAGATGTCAAAACAATGCGAATGACAATTGAAGTAAAAGAAAACATGTAATGAATTAAGGTTTATGTAAAGCATTACCATCATCATTATGACATTATCACTTGTGGAAAGATCACCACTAGATCATCTTCATTAAAACCATTTCCATGATAAGAAATCATCATTATTATTCTTATTTTTCAATTCAAACTTCAGTATCACAAAATCCTCAAAATTAAAGTTAAAACTGTCATCAATGTCACAATTGAGCATCATCAACATATTTGTTTATATAGAAATGAAAGTTGTGAATAGTCCATATGAATATCCTTATCAGACTCATGGCATTAGCATCATCAATGACAGGCTTAACATGAAAATCACAGTATTAAGTATGGCCCTAACATTGTCACAGATGTACAAATCCAATAAATATTTATCTTAATAGTCATATGCACAATATAGATCATTAAAGTAACCATTTGTGAGGGAATAAGTAGCATGAAAGATCATGAGATGATTGAGAAGAGTATTAGATCATCACTTACCGAAGAGGGGGAACTTGGATGCAAACCGAAGAGGAAAGATGACAATGTGTACCTAGATGCAATGAAATGGACTTCAAATGTTAGATCTGGGCTCTAATTGTGTGGGAATGGAGATTGACGAGCTTAGGGTTCGGGAGGAAGAAGAGAGAAATGGACAGAATGGAGGAAATGGGTGCCGGAAGTGTTTTAAAACACTATTGTTGCCGCCACGATCGATCGCGTTCGAGATTTGAATCATGGGACCAAGGTACTTGTGATCAATCGTGAGCATGGACTGTGAACGGTCGCGAAGAGTACCGATTTTGGAAGTTTTCAAAAAAATTTGAAGTGTTGGATCGCGATCGATAATGACCTAGCCTATAATTGATTACAAAGAAGACTGATTTTGGAGAATTTCAAAAAATTTATAAGTGCTGGCTTGCGGTCGATCATGCTTACACGAATGGTTCCTGTGAACGGTCAAATGGGTGCCTGAAATTTTGCTGCTTTAAAATTTTTTCTCAGTGCAAAGCCGCGATCGATTGGGAGGGAGGACGCAATGCGTAGTGCTCAAAATTGAAAAAAAAAAAAAAAAAAAAAAAAAAAAAAAAACTAAAATGAAGGCACCACTCGACCTAAAAGTATGTTTTATGAACTTTTTTCAAAGAAATGAACCAAAATGAAAGTACGAAAACCTAACTAAATGAAGAAAGAAATAAATGAAAAGAAACGGAAAAACAAAGGAATAGAGTTCAGAAACCCTACAAGTGCTAGGTTTAATGTCCTTAGGTGACACAAGGTTGCTGAAGAATCCATGTAGATGGGATCTACCAAGTTTGTGGATTCCATATCTCCTAAAATTGCATTGCCCTTAACACATAACTTCAACCTTTGTCCATTCACCTTTAGAATCATATGATCTCATAAACTTTTGATTTCAACCACTCTATGAGACGAAACGGAGACGACTTCATAAAGATCGTCCCATCTAGAACGAAGTTTCTTGGGAAAGAGCTTAACCTTAGACTTGTAAAGCCAAACTTTTTGACCGGGTTCAAAAGACTTATTCATGATATTACTATCATGAAAACTTTTGAATGTGTTTTACAGATTTTAGAGTTTTCATAGGCATCATTCCTAAGCTCTTCTAATTCACTCAATTGAAGCTTACAGTTTGATCCAGCCTTTTCAATGTCAAAGTTAAACTTTTTGATTGCCCACAAGGCTTTATGCTTAAGGTCAACCAGAAGATGACAAGACTTCCCATATACAAGTTTATAAGTAGACACGCCAATAGGAATCTTGTAAGCCATCCGGTAAGCCCACAAAACATCATTTAATTTCTCAGAGATTCACCGTTTTCTCAAGAATTTGCATAATTTCCCTATTTGACACTTCTACAGCCCACTCATTTGAGGATGGTATGGGATAGATACCTTATGTGTAACGGAGTAATTTGCGAACAAATGTTTCATGAATTGATTGGAAAAATGCTTTCCTCCATCACTTATCATTGCCTTTGGCATGCCAAAATGATTAAAAATGTTGGATTTGATTAACTCAATCATAACGAAATGGTCATTCATTTTGGTTGCTATGGCTTCTACCACTTGTAAACATATTCTACGGCAAACAAAATAAACTCATTTCGAAAAGGTATTAGAAACGGTCCCATATATAAAATCTATTCCCCAAACATCAAAGATCTCTATAATAAGGATTGGTTATAATGACATTATATATGTTCTAGTCATCGAACCTATCTTTTGACATCTAACACAAACATTACAAAAATTATAGGCATGCCGGTGGATGCTAGGCCAAAATAGACCGCATTAAAAGACTTTAGAAGCAGTCTTCTTTGCACTAAAATGGCCACCACATGTAAGAGCATGACAAATGATTACAATACTAGGGACCTGACTCTCGGGAATACATTTATACATAACTTGATCAGCACAATACTTGAAAAGAAAGGGATCTTCCCAATAATACTTTCAGATGTTAGCAAAGAACTGGTCTTTTGCTTGGTTAGACCAATTTGTGGAAATTTTTCCAATAGCTAAGTAGTTTACGATGTCCGTAAACCAAGGTAAGTTCCCATTAGCAATATGAAACAATTACTCATCAAGGAAAGTATCATGTATAGGAAGTGTATTTGAAGAAGATTCAACCACTAAATGAGATAAATGATTTGTTAAGACATTTTAAGAGCCTTTTTTGTGCTTGATTTCAATGTTGAATTCTTGCAACAAAATAATTCAACGAAACAATCTCGATTAGGTCTCCTTTTTAAACAAAAGATGTTTTAGTGCTTCGTGGTTAAAGTACACTATCACTTTGGAGCCTAAAAGATATGAACGAAATTTATCCAAGGCAAAGACAACCGCTAGCAACTTTTTATCGGTTGTGGAGTAGTTCAATTGTGCATCTGAGAGAATTTTGCTAGCATAGTAGATAACATAAGGAAGCTTATCCACATGATGCCCTAACACCGCTCCTATTGCATAATCGAAAGCGTTATACATGATTTCAAATGACAAGGCCAAATTAGAGGTTTCATGATTGAAGCGGAGGAGATAATATAGCGAAGTTTTTAAAAGACATCAAGACACGTATCATTAAAGACAAAAGTCACATCATTGGCAAAAAGTTACACAATGGTCGATCAATTTTGCTAAAGTCCTTAATGAAAGGACGGTAGAAACCGACATGCCCTAGAAATGAACGATCCTCTCTCACGGAAGACAGTGGAGAAAGCTCGAAAATGAGTTCAACTTTCACCCTATCAACCTTTATTCCCCTTTTTGAAACAATATGACTTAAAACTATCCCCTATTGGACAATGAATTAACTCTTTTCCTAACTAAGAATGATATTGGTTTTCTTATATCTTTGGAGTACAAGAGTGAGATGATGAAGCTAATTTTCAAAAGTGGATCCAAAAACTGAAAAGTTGTCTATGAAAACCTCAAGAAACTTTTCCACCATGCCCCGAAAAAATTGACATTATACACCATTGGAATGTGGCGGGGACATTACACCGACCAAATGACATCCGTCTATATGAAAATGTACCAAATAGACAAGTAAAAGTTATTTTCTCGTGTTCATTGGGATCAATGGCTACTTGGTTATAATCAGAATATCCATCTAAGAAGCAATAATAACTTTGACCAGCCAACCTCTCTAGGAATTAATCAATGAAATGTAGAGGAAAATTGTCTTTCCGAATGGCAAAGTTGAGTTTCCTATAGTCAATGCACACACTCCGGGTTGTGGTGCGTTATGAGATCATTTCACCCTTAGAATTCTCAATAACGATGATTCTTGATTTATTTGGAACAACTTGGGCATGGCTTACCCATTTGTTATCAGAGATAAGATGAATGATCCCGATATCTAATAGTTTGACAACCTATTTCATGGCTACCTCCTTCATGTTAGGGTTCAATCTCCTTTAAGTATCCCTAAGGGGTTTGGCATCCTCTTCCAAATGTATGCAGTACTAATGCATGCAAATAGAAGGGTCAATTCCCTTCAAGTTGGCCATACTCCTAGGAAATCATATTTGAGATTGGAAGGGAGTGGTTTAAGCTCTAGGGAAGATGTAGATTCTAAAGATGGAATTGGTGAAGTACTAGAAAGTGGATGAAGAGGTTTTTTTAGGGTTTCCAAGGGACAATCCGTCATTGTAATGGTGTCCAACAAAGCATTAACTCCACAAATGGAATTTTCAATATCAAATCCATCCATGTTAAAATAAGCTAAACATGTTTCAAGTAGATCTTTGGAAAGGATTGAAGGATATGACTCTTTAACGAGATCATCAAGCACAACAATAAAGAAACACTCGCCTTCATCTATAGGATGTTGGCTTACATTAAATATGTTCAACTTCAACATCATATTACCAAATGAAATGTCCATAACAACCTACCTACAATTGATGGTTGCATTTGCGGTTGCAAGGAAGGGACAACCTAAGATGACAGGAACATGACTCTTAGGATTATGCACCAGCTCAGTGTCAAGAACTAAGAAATCAACTGGGAAATAGAATTTGTCAACTTTAATGACTGTTTCGTAGATCTATCAGCGAGTTGAAGAACAACTAATTTAGGTTTCAATTCACCTGAACGCAATTAGAGATACACCAAATAAGAAAGAAGGTTGACAATTATTCCTAAGTGCAAGAGAGCTTTTTGAATTTCAAGGTCCCTAATGATACAAGAAATGTTAAGGGCACCGAGATCTTTGAACTTGGGAGGCGTGTTATGTTGAATGATTGAGCTAACTTGCTTGGTGAGAACCACCTTATTAGGAACTTAACTTTTAGACTTCCTCTTTTGGGTGCACATGTATTTCAAGAATTTGGCATATGGTGGAATTTGTCAAATGGTGTTAGGAAGAGGAAGATTGATTTTAATGTGTTTAAAAACTTCCATCAAACCATTAATCTTTTCCTTTTGGTTTCTGATGTGACCTTGTTGTGTTCCACAAAAGTGTGTTACTTTTTAACAATTAATGTCAAGTGGGCATCACCTTTTAATATTTATAAAAGCCACTTAACACCAATACAATATAGTATAGTGAAAAGGGATCGTTCTAAGGGATTAAACACGTGTTAGAATCAAATTGAACTTTAGTGCTAATGAGATTGTAAAGAGAGTTGGTTTGAATTGATTAAACTATAATTAAACTTAAAAACATGCAAGGTAAATTTAACTAAAATGATTAGAGTTTAAGAGATAGGAGAGGAGTCTTAGGGCATAAGAATCACCACTAAGCTCATTCACTAAACCACAAGCCTTTAACTAATTGGGGAATTATCATGTTGTAAACCAAATGTGGCTACTAATTGCAACAATGAGCAAGGATATCAAATTCAAGTATGAATTGTTTACTTAACAACAAGTAAACTAGGTATAGTGCAACTTATCAAGTATAAGTATAAACTATCAAATTAATCAATTATAGCACACATTAATCTAGAGAATCATACAACTTGCAATGATAAGTATGGATTATCAAATTTAAGCATGGATTGTTTGCCTAACTAGAATTTAAATGCAATTAAATTACAATTTAAACTAAGATAATTAAACTAAAGGTGTAGTATAATCCATCAAGTATAAGCATAACCCATCAAACTAATCAACAAGTGTATCCAATAAAACCATGCATAGCCATCATTAAACACAAGTAAAACAAGTATCTAGTGTATAGACATAATCCTCAATTAATTACACACAGACATGCAACCAACATAGAGAATTAGTAGGAAGAATTTAACCACAGAAATCAACAGAGAACCTAAGATTCGTTATATACACAAGGTTATAACATCATTTACAACATTAAATCCCAAAAAAGTTAAAGATAAGCATTTAGATTACAAGCTTAGGGATCATCCAAGCCCTAAGGAGAATCCCCAAATATGGCTTCGTCTTCTTCCTCTTAGTCTTCTTGCTTGAAATCCTAGAGATTTGGAGATGTTCTTGTCTCTTTCTTCCCAAAACCCTAATTCTAAAGAGAGAATATCTAATTTCTAAAAGTAAAAGATATGTAAAATTAACTAACTCTTTACCAAATGGTCCAATTCCCTTTTTATACAAGACCCTTAGAGCCTAAAATAAGTCAGAAATAAGCCCTAAAAATACTTCAATCCTGTTGCTATTTGGTAGGTGAAGATTGGGCGAAACCGGGAAATAAAACAACTCACTGCCAGGCAATTTATGATTGATCATGAATTTCTACGATTGATCGCGCTGACGTGGCCTTCTTATCTTGACAACTGACTGCCTTATTCGCTAAGCTAGCGCTAACGTGGCATTGTGATCGATCGTACTTTCCTTGCAATCGATCGTGAATTTTTGCGAATGATGTCATAGCGGCCTTATCTGCTGACTAGGCTTATCCGATGACGTGATAGTAAGATCGGTCGTGGAAAATTGTGATCGATCGTGTATGGGCTACGATCGATCGTAAGCCCCTATTCGGCAAATTTTTGAACTTTTTCTAGAATTTTTTGGATCTTTCTCAGTGCATTTACTCGACTCCAAAAAGGCTTTAATGAACTATTTTAAGCCTTTTTGAACCTTATTAACCTAAAATTGACAAAAACACAAATTAGGACTAAAACGGAAAAGTAAAGATAAATGAGAGGACTAAAATACCCTAGATTAGAGCTAAAATGTGTAATATTTCAGCACTTATCACACCCCCAAACTTAGATATTGCTAGTTCCTAGCAATGAACTACAAAGTAAAAAGAGAAAGGACAACTATACAACTATGACTAGAAAATAATAAATGGATAACACCATTTTCGTAAGAATCACAGTTGCATTTAGCATATACAACATGCCTTTTGAACCCCTAGGTTACCCCTAGTGGACGAGTGAAATCTCGTGACAGTTTCCAAAAGTGATACCCACAAACATCAAACCCTTTCTCACTTAAGAGGTACCAAACATTCCAACAGGTATTAAAAGGAAACTACCTCAAGTACGCCATTTTTCAACTATCTCTAAGCACTTTCTAAAATTCCAATAACAATCATACAAATATGGTCCTCTACACATCAAGTACGATAATCATGCAAATCAAATCAACTCTAGTATTTTTTTGAGTGAACCGGCATCATTTATGTTGCTATCTTAGTAAATTAATGAAATGGGTACAACCAGTCTCAAACTAGTACACAAATCAAGTACCAATCAGCAAGACAAAGAAATGAACCTTTTATTCAATTTATTTCCAACATGCTCTCTTTTTCTTTTTATCTTTTTATTTTATTTTATTTTTATCTATTGGATCAAAGATAAGAGTATGGTGTAATGTAAAAATCTCTTAAGCTCTCTAGAAGATTCATTTAACGAGCGTTAGGTCAATGACTCTCAAACTGGACGGTTTTAGGACATTAGGTGTAAAGACACCCCTAAGGACTTACAAGCTCAAATAAACTAGGCTACAAATCAAAACAACTCTCATATTATCATTTCCGGACTCCTCACCTTTGGTGAGAAGTGCTCACTTTTATTTTATTTTATTTTATTTTTTTAACTATTGTTTGGGTCCTTCACTTTTT